ATATGCGTTTTTGCTGCCTGTTGCAGCGCTCTAGCGCTGCACGGCAAAAACGCATAAAAACTGAAGACCATTTGAAATTCTAATGAAAAAAAAAAAAAAAAACATGTTTGTAATAACGAAATGGTAGATTGATCAATCACAATACTTACGACTAGCCACTTATTGAGCACAGGAACGGAAAATCCACAACTTTTAGAAGTGCGGTTTTTCAGCAAATAGACAGAGCGAGCGCTCGACAGATGGACGCGGACGGTCGAGCTGCGGCAATTGTGGAGGAATCGACCATGAACGTGAAGACGGTGGCCGCATGCAACGGCCAGGAAACAATGCTCAGCCGTTACCAACGGGCACTTAAAACTGGGCGCAAATTTGCCTTACGGATCTATGCAGTTGCGGGTTTCTACGATGGCCTTTTTTTCCTTGTCTTGTATATCTTCTTTGCTGCAGGCATATAGTAAGTTGCACTGAAATTTTGCATTTTAATAGAATCAGGGTAAAATCGTAATTTTTGAACCACGATTTCAAATTTTTAAATAAATAAATTTGTAAGTGAATAATTGGTATCCAAGGTCACGACCTCAATCCGATTCTAACTTGCTGTTAACTCGGGATACAAGAAGTTATAAGCCGGAATCGGACAAACCAGAATGATTCTAAAATAAAAGCACAACTAGGATTCGTTCTGCAGAGCATGGCATAAGGTGCTTGCTCTAAAATCTTTTTGAATCACTGCCGCGTTTTGATTTCACGTCCCAGTACAGACCAAACTACATGCGACACCGAGCAAGTTATAAGCTAATAAGCTCGCTTTTGCGGATGAATCTCCTTTTTGAAAATGATTGTGATCCACGAGGAGAAACGAATCGTTCGTCTTCACATCCAAATACGATGTGCTGGACAGTTGCATCACCTGTTTTTGTATCTGCTGGGCGCCCATATATTCCGCGTTTACGGCACCTCCATGTGCACACTGTATCGTCTGACTGTTGCACTTTTTCAATAGTTGCCGGCTTTTCGCAAGAATTCCGCGACACTTTCTGCTGTTGCAAAAGCGAAGCGACTGTGATTTTCTGGAATGCATCGATATTTTTTTACGCAAAACATTTTTCAGTTACGGTGCATATTTGTACAAAATTGGCGTAGTGGTCGATCCGGGCGATGTTTTTGTTACTTCATATTCGATTTTGTTCGGTTCTTATTATCTGGGCTTGCTAAGTCCGCATCTCATGGCAGTGCTAAATGCTCGAGTCGCCGCCGCAGTTATCTACAAAATGATTGACCGCGTAAGTTCTCTAAACTACATTTATTTCAGAATACCAAAGCATTCTAGGAAAAGCTCGAGGATAAATGTGATGTCAGACTGCTGTCATTCAGATCATTTTTGGGCGCATTCATTCAAAAAGAGTGTAATAGGATGGGTTTTGGCGTTAATTTGTAAAATATTCTCACATTTCTAAATACTTCGATCACTTTCAGTAACCTTCACCTTACGGCGTTCTTGCAAAAGCAGTTCTGCAAAAAATAGAAACAATCGTCTGAAACCAGAGTGCTGGATGAAAAAAACTTTTCAGAAGCCTCCGACTGATTCCACATCGACAGAGGGCATCAAACCGGAGGTAGTGAAGGGTTTAGTGGAATTCAAAGACGTTCAATTTTCATATCCAACGCAAAAGGAGCGGATTGT